TGCAATCTTAGCACAGTTCTTGACACACCAAAAGCAATCAATAAATTGTAGTCAGAGTATTAAGTAGTTCTAATTTTAGTGGTGATAATAATGATAGTAATCATTTACTCATGGAAAAAAAAAACTGATGAGGTTCTTAAAACTCCTGACTTCTCCAAAGAGCACATAAAATAAGTGCTGACTCTCCAGGAGCTGACTAGCTAATGAAGGAAGTATGGCCTGAATGGAATATGCCAGGTAATATACCTGCAGGGCATGTCCCTCCACTCTTCTGACACCCCTGTTGCCTGAATGAAAGGTCTTTGAATAAAGACTATTATTAATCACAGGATCTTTGATTACTTTTCAATATTGTGAACATTTTGGTCATTTTTTGTGAAATTTTACTTTTCTTGTTGAAAAATAATAAAGCGTACATGTGTACTACAATGAGTAATTATACCGTGAATGCCCATAATGCCTGCTAGTCTGTTAAAAAATTGCATTTGTCAGTGTAACCAATGACCCATATGTCATACAGAGACCACATCTCCTGCAACCCCTCTCAAATCAGCATAATTTGGAATTTTTTGTTACTTAATACCATCACCTTTTGAACCTATTCTTGATTTTCTAATTTATATAGAGACTGCATTGTGCTTATTTATATATGCTTTTCTTCTTTTTATTTATTTATTTTTTTGTGGGACCCTCGCCGGCAGCTGGGGAACGAACCAGCGCTGCAGAGGCTGTGGACAGCATCACAGCCCAGCGCTCAACCGCTGCGCCACCAAGGGAGGCCCTTATGCTTTTCTCCTTATTTATTTTTACATTGTTGTTCATTTTTGTACAGTGTTTGATTTCTCCTCTCAAGTGTCATCCCCATAAAATTACCACCACCAAGACGCCTTAGAACTATCACCATAGACTCTTGTGTTCTTCCCTCCAGTTTTGATCTCTTTCCCTCCCCCTCCCCTGCTGAATGTCTCTCATTTATACTTGCACTAGTTTTGACTTTTATTCCTGATCTTTGTATGCTTTCCCTATGTTCCTCCTATATGTGAAACCATCCAATATTTTTCTTTTTCCTTCTGACTTATTTCACTGAGCGTAATCCCTTCCAGCTCCATTCATGTTCTTGCAAATGGCGTATGTTTATCTTTTTTTGATTGCTGAGTAGTATTCCATTGTGTGTATATATATATACCATATTTTCTTCATCCAGTCATCTGTTTTGGTACATTTAAGTTGTTTCCATATTTTAGCTATTGTAAATAATTCTGTAATGAATAAAGGAGTGCAAGTGTCTTTTTGAATTAATGTTTTTGTGTCATTTGGGTAGATTCCTAAGAGTGAAATTGCTGGGTCATATGGCAGATCCATTTTTAGTAATTTGAGGGTCCTCCACAATGTTTTCCATTTTGGTTGGACCAGTTTGAATTCACATCAGCAATGTAAGAGGGTTTGTTTTTCTCTACATCTTCACCAGCATTTGTTGTTGGTTGGTTTTAATTTGCATTTCCCTGATTGTAAGTGATGTTGAGAATTTTTTCATGTGTGTGTTGACCGTCTGCATTTCTTCTTTGGAGAAGTGTCTTTTTAGCTCTTCTGCCCACCTATTGACTGGACTCTTTATTTTGTTTTGTTGAGTTGTGTAAGCTTTTTGTACATCTTTGATATCAGTCCCTTATCAGTTTTGTGGAATAAAAATATTTTCTCCCAATCTGTGGGTGTCTCTTTGTTTTGGTTACCATCTCTTTTGCTGTACAGAACTTATAAGTTTGATGTACTCCCAACTGTTTATCTTTTTCTTCATTTTCTTTGTTACAGGGCATGAGTCTTCAAAGATATTTCTGAAATGTATGTCATGGAGTGTTTTGCCTGTTTTCTTCTATGTATTGTATGGTTTGAGGTCTTACATTTAGGTCTTTTATGCATTTTGAGTTGATCTTTGTGTATGGTGTGAGGTAGCAATCTATGCCCATCCTACTTTTATTATCTTGCATGTAGCAGTCCAGTTTTCCCAGCATCATTTATTGAAGAGACTATCCTTGTTTCAGTGCATATTCTTTGCTCCTTTGTCATAGATTAGTTGTTCATAGATTTGTGGCTTTATGTCTGGGTTTTCAATTTGGTTCCATTTGTCTGTGTTTCTGCTTTTGTTCCAGTATCATGCTATTTTAATTATTATTGTTTTGTAGTATAGTTTGAAGTATAGGAGTGCAATACCTCCATTCTTTTTCTTGTTAGGTGAGCTTTGGGTATTTGAGGGTTTTATTTTTTTTGTGGTTCCATGTGATTTTTTATCAATATTTGTTCTATTTCTTTGAAAAATACCATTGAGATTTTTATTGGAATTCATTGAATCTGTAAATTGCTTTTGGTAGAATGGCCATTTGATAATGTTAATTCTGCTAATCCTTGAGTAGGGAATGTCTTTCCATTTCTTTGTATCTTTTTCTATTTTATAAATGTTGTTTTCTGCTTCATCAACTTTTTTTGCTGTTTTAAAATATTTCCTATTCTGATTTATGTCCTGTTTAAAAGAAGAAAATATTTTATTCTTTTACTTATTTGTTTGAGGTAGCATTGATTTATATCACTATAAGAGTCATAGGAGTAGGGTCACATCTCCTCACATGTGCATTGCCACAACCCCACCTAATTCTGTTTTCTTATTATTTATTTATTATGTTATTTATTTTATTTATTCATTTTATTTATTTATCCTTATCCCTCTTTGACCCTTTCTCCAAGCCCTCCCTCTTAACCTCAGAAACTTCACATCATTTATTCACACTAGTTTTATGAGTATTTTGCTTTGTTGAATTGTCTGCTGTGTAAACTTCCAATATTTGACCTTGTCATTCATATTTACTTTACTATGCATAATTCCCACCAACTCCTTCCATTTTGCTGTAAGTGATAACATTTTGTCTTTACTTCTGGCCAAATTGTATTCCATTGTATGGATCTATAGAGGAGCCAGTCATCTGTCACTGGGCACTGAGGTTGTTTCCATGTTCTAGCTATTGTAAATAAATACTATAAAGTATAAAATTTCTTGAGTTGATAGTTTGATATTCTTTAGCTAGGTGCTCAAGAGTGGGAATTCTGGGTTATAAAATCAATTTTAGTTTCTTAAGGTAAATCCAGAATACTTTTCAAAATGGCTATTTACATTTACCAGTTTACCAGAAGTCAAATAGCGTTCCTCATTCACCATATCCTTTCCAGCACATGTTGTATCTTTTGAATATGTGTCATTCTCAAAAGCATGAGATGATATTTCATTGTGGTTTTACCTGCATCTCCCTAAATAAAAGCAATGATTAACATTTTTTCCATATATCTATTAGCTTCTGGATCTCTTTTTTGGTGACTTGCCTGTTCACATCACTGCCCACTTATTCATTGGTTCTTCTTTTATTGTTAACTTGAATGTTTTTTTTTATATCTTGAATATTAACTCCTTGTAGGTTATGTAATGTGTGAATATTTTCTTTACAATAGGATGTATTTTTAATCTACTTATGTTTTCTTTTGCTGTGTAAAACTTTTTGATTTGCAGTAAATCCAACTGTTTATCTTGCCTTTTATTTTTGTTACAGTAGTGGTTGAGTCTCCAAAAACATCTCCATCATTGATATCATTAAATATTTTACCTATTTTACATGTGTATGTATATATATGTATATATACTTTATTGCTGCAGGTCTTATATCTAAGTCTTTTAACACATTTTCTAAGGTTTGAAAAATTATAATCATACATGAAAAATATTTGGGCAACAATTTTCTCAGTTATAAATCAGTGGTCTTAAAAATTTGGTAAAATATAAGGGAGGGATAGGTGCCTTATTCAAAAGTTGCAAATGTCTATCTTTGTTTCCAAAACTGTAAAGGTAAATAGATAATAGATGCATCTCATTTAAAAAATGCTTATGTCATCATCTTTGATAGGTGACACTTGAAAAACAATTAGGGATTAAAAATTTATTTTAAAAAAGATAAATAAATCATAGGGGGAAATGCTGAATTTTGACACTAATTGCTGTCAAGTAATTTAAAATAATGAATTTCCATTCTCTGTAAACCAGACATATCCTTCAGTGCTCACACATTCTAATGAAAATATTTTATTTATTTCAAAGTTACCCAGTCCTGATTTAAACCACAGAGATACCCTCAAAAATAGATTATCCCAAACCAAATTCATTATATCTCATGAAGTCCAAACCTCTTTCCTGTCCTATATTCTATAGTGTAGCTAATATCACCTTATACATTCAGTTACTCAAGGGAAAATTTATATAGTAAGGCAATACTTGCATTTACTTCACATATTTAGTTGAATGAACTATTCAGTAAACTTTTTTACATGATTTTCTTATAGTCAGAAAATATCTGTAGTTGACCAGATGCTTAATTTGTATATAATATTTCTTAGTTAGTTTGAAATAATTAATGAATTATCCAAACTAATATGCTATAAAGAAATGCCTAAGGCAGTGAATGAATAGTCCCTTGCCTGTTGATATATAACAGATGTATGCTGAATGTGTTTACTCACTTTCATCATTATAAAATAGTGTTTTTAATGATTTTGAGAGGATTGTTATAGCCCAGAGCAATATCTGTCAAAAAAATCTCTTAGTAGATATTTTAAAAATCATATAACTCACTGTCAACCATATTAATTAGTATTAAAGAAATCCAATGTAATTTTAGCTATTTTTTTTTACAGAAAATATATGTTCACACAATGTTTGAAAAGTATTTGAAGTACCTTGAATGCTTATGTTTTCTTTCTAGTCATTTTTAGAATAATTATATTTGGTGCCTTATTTTTTTAAATTATAATGTAACTATTTGAGATTATTTTGACAATGAGTAGCATAGATTTCTAAACAGTAGTAGATAATAGATAATTATTATTAGCAGTAGATAATCTGGGGCTGTTAGAGCAGTTCCATGATAATCAGATATGCCTCCTCCAACATTGTGACTTCCATCTTCAAGGTCACTTCAATGTCCTCGTTCGTTGCTGGAGTTCCAGACAGACATCATATCCAAATTATAGTTCAGAAGAAGGCAGATGGACAAAAGGGCAAGTAAGATACATCTCATCTCAGCCTCTCCCTTTTAGCACCTTCTCTGAAGTTGTAAATATTTTCACTTATACCTTATTGGAAAGAAGTAACTCACATGATTATACCTCCCTGCAAAAGAAGCTAGAAAATAAACTATGTATTGGGAAGCATTATAACAGGTAAATATCGGGGTTCTGTTACTAAAGAAGGGAATAATGGATATTTTAAAGGCAACTAGTATAGGGCCTCCCCTGGTGGTGCAGCAGTTGAGCACTGGGCTGCGAAGCTGCCTGCAGCCTCTGCAGCACTAGTTCAATTCCCTGCTGCCGGCGAGGGTCCCACATGGCATACAGACCTCTCTGCCATGCCTGCTGCTCCCCTCAGCAGTGTATTTCAGTCCTTCTGCCTGTTCTGCTCCCTGCTCTGGCTCTGGTGAATTCTCTCACCCTCCTGCGCTTCTGACTGTACCCAGTGTTTGTATAAATAAATAAATAAATAAATCTTTAAAAAAAAAGCAACAACTACATATATGTACATGAACACAATAGATAAACAGGTAGACTAGTATGTACATAATATATATCTTTTTTCCACTAGCCATTTCACTAAAATCCCCATTTTTATGACTCAGAAACAAATACATAATGGTTTGATTATTAAATTACTGAATCGATGTATTATACTTCACCCTAATGTTAAAAATGGAATTTTCTGCACATGTATTATGTCATTCTATTATGCTGTTGCCGTGATGACTTCTGCTGCTACTTTCATTTATGAGTATCTAACATGAGCTAATGATTGTACTAAATATTTTAGATAGATGTAAGGTGAGTACAGCTGGTTCTTACACCTATTTTCAGGAATGGGTTAACATAGTGCAGCAATTGAAGGTAACACAAACCCAAAACCCAGCAGTATTTACAAATTGTGCACATTTTAATTCAGGTTTTCTAAAAAAGTATAAAAGGAGATTACAATGCCCAAAATTTTATGAAACTTCCTATAATGCTCTTAATCCATTACCTCCCTCACTACTCAGGGATGCTGAACTAATCAGTAATCTCCATTTTTGCATGGCTGCCAATACTGTTCTTTTCTTTTACTCCCCCATTCTGTGCTTATCATTTCCCCGTTCTTCAATACCTTTTTTATTTTAGAGGGCATAAAGTTGTAAATATCTACTACCTTTAGCAATGAAAACATCTCTTCATTGTATTCTTACCAACAATGAAATTATAATTTAAAAACTATAATTGTTTTACAAGATAATATTTTATTGACATCTTAGTTACTAAACACATCTGAACACTTTCTCAGGAACCTACTAAGTAGTTGGAATTCTGCCTTCATTTATCCAGCCAGAATTTATTATGAGCCTGTTTTGTGCCAGTCCCTCTCTAGGTGTTGAGGATATAGTGATGAGAAAAAAGAATAATCCCTACTTCTTGGAAGTTACATTTTATTTGGTGGAGTCAGAAAATAAACAATGATTAAAGTTAAATAGAGATTGGAGGGTGAAGGATTATAATTTATTTTTAATTAATTAATATATATTTTACATCATTGTTGATTTTTAAATAATGTTCACCTGATTATAATTTAAATAGGTAGACAGGGCACTCACAGGATAGACCCACTTGAAGGTGACATTTAAATAAAGACTAGAAGGAACTGAGGGATTAAACTACACATGTGCATGGAAATCGGTGATGAGAACCACAATAAAGGAAAATAAAATGTATTTAGCAATAGTTTGTCCATTGTGCTTGAAGAACAGCAAAGTGTCTTATGTGCTAAGAGTGAAATGAACTAAGGCCAGAGTAGTACTAAAATCAGAAAAGCAGTGATATCAGATCATGTAGGCATTATGGCTATCGTGAGGACCTGAGCATTTTCTCCCACTGAAAATGGAAGCCAGTAACAAATTTTTAATCTGCTTTAAATTTTAACAAGATCTGTTTGCACACCCACCAACAGTGCAGAAGAGTTCCTTTTTCTCCACACCCTCGCCAACATTTGGACCTACTAAACATAGAGCTTCCATATGATCCAGCAATTCCACTCCTAGGTATTTACCCAAAGGACACAGAAACATCAATTCCAAAGAACACCTGCACCCCTATGTTTATAGCAGCACTGTTTACAATAGCTAAGCTTTGGAAACAACCCAAATGCCCAAAAATAGATGACTGGATCAAGAAGATGTGGTACATATATACCATGGAATATTACTCAGCATTCAAAAAAGATAAACACATGCAGTTTGCAGCAACATGGATGGCGCTGGAAGGGATCATGCTCAGCGAAATAAGCCAAAAAGAAAAAGAAAAATACCGGATGGTCTCACTCATAGCAGGAATCTAGAAAACTTAAATAAGGGACCAGGAAAATGAATATAAGAAAGTGAAAATCAAAATCAACAAAAAACTATGAACCAGAGACACTTTTTGGGGGGGTGGGGGCGGGAGGGGAAGGATTGGGGTCAGAATGGGGCGTTTGCAATTGTATGGGGGAATATAAAAATAAAATTTATTATTTAAAAAAAATAAATAAATAAATTTTAACAAGATCACTCTGGTTGTTTTGTGGGAAATACACTGAAGGGGAATAATAGCTGAAACAAGGTAACTAGTTAACAGGCTATTATATTTCTCTTGAAAGATAATGAAAAGTCATAGATATGACCCTATCATATGTATGTTTGTATAGTCTGTATATCTAGTCAACTGGATTATGATGTCTAACAGAAAAAGCAAAATAATATTTCTAAAGAGTTCATTTGTTAGACCACTGATTTCAAGACCCAGAAAAATAAAGTTGAACTACAATTTGAAGGAAGTACTATAGGAGGCACATAGCAAATTAGAAACTCCAAAGAAGATATGCTAGTTTTGAGAATATTAGATGTCACAGTGAAGTGGACAAGTGAGTATTTCAGGATGAAAATGCTTTCTTAAATTTGTATTATTTTACATAAATGGGCATAGATTTTTAACGTAGTAACATTACTTTTTAATATATGCGTAACACCACATTGAAGTGATCATTCTCTCGTAAAGGGTTAAACAATATTCATTTTAAAAAGTTATATATGTTTGAGAGAGATGGAGGAAGGAGGGAGGCCGTGGGTAGAGAGAAAGAAGGAAGAGAGGATAAGAGAGAGAAGGAGGATAGGGAGGAGAAATAGAAAAAAAAAAAAAAACCACATTGCTTTCAGTGATATAAAAGCTTCCATATGGTGTTAGTTTGTCAAAATATTTCCGTAGGAGTACTGTCGGAACTTTCTACCCGCACACATATTTAGTATTTAAAAACCTCATAAATTCACCTATTCCTTTGTATGCATGTATGTCTTTCTTTCCTCTCTCATTTTTTACAGCTTTTCAATTACATTTTCCACTGAGATAGCTTGACTGCCTCGATGCCCACAATAATATCAAGAGGAAGTCTAAATCCCATTTTTTTTCCTCCAGAGTTATCCAAATTTCTAGATGCCTGCATTGTGTTAAACAGCATCTCTGAGCTGATCCTCATCCTGTCTGCCTGGCTATGCAACTGTGCCTCTTTAATTGCTATGGCAACTGTACAATAGTGCCAGTATAACCACAGAGACTAGACACACGAAGTGTTAAATACCATAGGGAAACGGAAATATAATGGCTAGCATGACATCTCAAAGGTTCAGGGATTTACTTCTTGGAATTCCAAAGAAATGTGGATTAGGTGATAAATTATTTACAAGATTTGGAGCACTGATTAATGACAATTTGTATTACAACACTTTTTTACACCCTTCCAAGTTGCCAGAAAATGAATTCTGAGGAGAGAGCTGCTGTATTCTTGGACATTGGAAGAAAACTGAGGTCATCTACTATTACTATTGCTTCTATATATTATTGGCAGGATAGCAACTTCATTGCATTTCACATTTGTGATGATGTTACCTGTCCTGGACCTTCTCCCTGCAGAGCTTGAAACCTGATTATTCTGCAATAAGATCATTAGAAAAATAAACTGGCTGTTTAAATCCAGGTTGGAGTCTAAAGTGACTAACAATGTCATCACACCTTCATTGAGAGTGTTTTCTCACCATTCCACGTGGATGTTGAACACAAGTTCTTTGTAACCTGATGTTTCTCACCATCTAGTAAATCTACTAAAAAGGCGTTGATATGACAGTTGAGGGGTAAATTTCTTCAAATTTTAAGTCGATGTGGAGCAAAAATGTACTACCCCAGAAAAAAAGATACCCATTATCTGAGTTTCCTCGTCTGTGATTACAGTGGTGCTTATCTAAAAGTTACGTGTCTGTTACTATTTTGCACAGAATTGTCTCCCTTTAAAGCTATTTATTTATTTATTTATTTGTTTGTTTGTTTGTTTATTTATTTATTTAAACAAGCACTAGGTACAGTCAGAAGCGCAGGAGGGTGAGAGAAATTCACCAGAGCCAGAGCGGGGAATAGAACAGGCAGAATGATGAAGAAGAGGTCTGTGCGCCCTGTGGGACCCTTGTCAGTGGCAGGGGATGGAACTAGCACTGCAAAGGCTGTGGGCAGCTTCGCAGCCCAGCATTCAACCACTGCGCCACCAGGGGAGGCCCAGAATCGTCTCCCTTTGTGTGCTTCCTTTCATCTTTTCTGTTCTCTTCCATACAATTTTCATTTAATTTACCAAACATGGAATTCGGTTGTCCCTCTGCTAATTGACCCTTTAAAATCCATACCTTAGGGTATTCACCATTCACACAAAGTTGTTTTACCAAGCAAATAGCCTTGTGTTCCCCAGATAAATTTTACTTCTCCCTCAGAGGCGTTATCTTAATTAGTTGAAAATTTATATATAAATTATTGTGCACTTTTATACACATATTTCCCCTCCTCCTTCCAGAATAATTCCCACTTATATATGATCATCTATAAGGAACACTCACAACAGAGATAGAAGTTAGGAAACCATTGAATACTTGCACTTGTGCCAGCTGAGTCAATACCAATCCACTGTTGCTGTAGTAGCTG